AATCTAGGATCAAGCTAGATGAGAATGATTTAAATCTCTGGCAAATACAGTGGTGCCTCGCTTAGCGATTGCCTCTAACGATGTATTTGCTTAGCGATGAGGTTTTAGGAGCGATCTTGTGCTCCGTTTAGCGATGTTTCCACTGGGGAAATTTCGCATAGCGATGTTTGGGACCTTGCTTCGCTTAGCGATGACCGTTTAGGTCCCCCTGTTTCGCTTAGCGATGTTTTTGACAGTTCCATTTTCGCTATTTTTACAAGGTGTTAAATTGTTTTAAAAGGGTTTAGAGTGCTTGAAATCGTTAGTGCACTTAATAAACCCTTTGGTAACCAAATTTGGCTTCGTTCTGACTCTTTTTGAATTTTTGGTGATTTTTTTTCCTCCCCCATTGAAATGGGGGAACCGCGTTTCGCTTAGCGATGTTTCCTATGGTAATTTTCGCTTAAGGATGGCAATCCGTTCCCATTGGAACGGATTATCCGGTTTTCAATGCATCTCTATGGGAAAACGCGTTTTGCTTAGCGATGTTTTCCCATAGCGATATTTTTTCTGGAACCAATTAAAATCGTTAAACGAGGCACCACTGTACCTTTTTATCCCCAAGAAATAAGGCAGAAAGCTAGCCCTAAAAACTGTTTCTTTCCAAACAGTTATACCTGATGATCATCAGTAAGAGTCTAGTGGCTCCCTAGATAGCATTGCTAACTAATTTTGTAGAAAGCAAAATTGGAGGCCATTTTGGAGAGCCTTGTTTAGTCAAACATTGAGTCAGACTGCAGGTGTTTTTTTAAACAAGATTAGCAAAATCTTGAGGAGGTGCAGTGGGGGTACCTATAGCAATTCCCTTATCATTTGAAGTGGACAAGGTGGTGTCCACATAAAGTGACTTGTGAGCCACCTTGGGTTCAGTTGTATTTTGAGAAGAGAAGGAAGGGTTTAGAAAGATCAGTACTGTACATGGCTTTGTTGAGTTTTAGTCTCTCGCTCAGATCAGAAGGATGGTTGGCACAGAAATGTCTGGTAACAGCTTTATCTGTATGGTTGCATGTCCATGAAGGATCAAGGTTTATTCAGTATTAATTTGGAACAGCTTGGAACCAGAGCATGGAAATGTTTCTGTCCCCGTGCTGTTTCAGTTTTCCCTCTGGCTGAGAGTTTTGGGGAATTATAATCCATAAAATTATTTTCCCCAGCTCTGCCTGGGATTTAGATGCTGGCGTAAACTACCCAATATGTGTTACTGCTGCCTACAAATTCTGTTGGGTCCCTTGTTGGGACAAATGTGGCCAAAGAGCCCAAAAAAACCACAACAACCATTAGATCCCGTCTGTGATAGCCTTCGCGGATACATCATACTAAACTCCTTACTATGTTGCTATGTCTTTGACAGCCATCTTCTCTGATATCCTTCGACAAGGATGTGCCAGGAGATTAAATTTGGGACACGTAAGATCTATACTTTCCCACATTGCAATTGCTCCTAAAATTTCACAGGAGACAGGTGGAGCGGGATTAGCTTTTCCCCATGAGAAAGAGAAGAAAACTGCATTTGTTTGTGGTATTTTAGAATGACTTCTGTCTTATTGAGCCTCTATGAAGTGTACTCTTCATTTGGCAGTGGGCTAGAATTTTTGCAAAGCTAAGATAAGGAGAATTGATGTGGCAGGGCTTGTTTTCAATTCCACCCAGATCACTCACTGCTGCTGCTTAGGAAAGAAAAGCAGTTTCTCTAAAAAAAAACCCTCCACCAACAAACACACACCTCTTTTTTCCTTTTTTTTCCTTGTGTGTGTGTGTGTGTGTGTTTGTGTGTGTGTGAATACCTCAAGGCTCATTTTATCTTTACAAAACAATATGAGCTTGATATTGGCAATGTCAAAGCAAATTAATTCCCCAAATATTTTCTAATTTTGAACAAACGCAAAACACGTTTGGAGAGGGGAAATGTTGCTGGGAATGCATCAAGGACTAATGCTTATGTCTGCCAAGCAGGATGTGTGCAGTTGCCATAGCAGCAATCAATCCACTAAATAACTTGCAACATAAACTGATTCAAAGGCAAAAGACTGATTTAGGTCAGGCAATAACACTCCATGAAAAGAGCGACTTTCCCCCCTCCCCCTCCGTGACTTGTGATAGTTGTGTTTGCTTTTATGAATGCACTTGAAATGCATATGGGAAGGGTTGCCTGCCTGCCTGCTGGAGGCCCAAGTGCGGGACTGAAGAGCTCTTGAGTGGAGAGTGAAGAACTAACCCACTCCAGATGGATGTGTGGCACTTCCAGCGTAGCCTCAGACAAAGACACTGTGGATGGGAGAAGGGGCGGTGAATTGTTTGATGCTATTCATAGCCTCAGCGCTGAAACGTAGGAAAACTACCTGTTGATGGCAAGGCGTCAGGAATACCCAATTGTTCTAAAAGAATGGGTTGGCTTACTAAGGAAATGTACTACTGCAGTGTAGTGATTAGAGGAGTGGTCTAGAGCTCTGGAGACCTGGGTTCCAATCCCCGCAAGGCCTCAAAATTCCTTGGGTGACCTTGGGCCAGTTATATACATTCCCAGTTGGAACTACTTCACGTAATTGTTCAGAGAATAAAGCGGAGACAAAACCAGTCTCGTACTTGGGCTTGTTGGAAAGAGCAGGGCTGTTGAGGATAGGACATGTGGGAAATCATAGGGGTGGCATAAATTGCTTGTAAACTCAGGCCTGTGGCTTCCTTAGGGAGTCAATCCGTCACATATTGGTCTTCTTTTCTTGCTTCCTTAAATTGAGTTTCAGCCTTAATTTCAAAATTTTTTTCCTTCCAGAGATAGTTCAGGCTTGATTTGCTTTAGGATCCTCTTGCTCATCTTTCTTGTAGTACAAGCCTTTGTTGCAACCCCTTGAGCATCATTTTGCTTGCATGAGAAATTAAAGCAGTGGTCCTATAGTGCATTTCCTTTCTTAGGGATTGGAATGCACATTGAGTGTTTTCAGTCTTTGGGTCATCGTTTTGTTTTCCATATTTGTTAGCAGACATATACTCATTAGGATTTTGGCAGAGTACATTTCTGTGGATTGACTTCTAACAGCATTCCATCTAACTCTGGTGATTTATTTCTTCTTAGTGCTTTCAGAGGAGCTTTTACTTCACTTTCTAGAACTGCAGATTCTTTATTATGGGCTTCCTCTTCAAAGGAGTCTGTCATCCTTTTTATCTCTTCTGTATAGGTCTTCAGTAAATTGTTTCCACCTTCTCTTTTATTTTATCTTGCTCAGATGGGGTGCTTCCCTGTTTGTCATTTTGCATTCCAAATCTAGGTTTAAATTTCCATTTAATTTCTTGGATTTTTGGGGGGAAGAGATCTCTGGTTTTCCCCCCTTTTATTGTTCACCTTATTTATTTGTTTGTTTGTTTGTTTGTTTGTTTGCAGTAGAAGTAGTAGTAGTTCTCCTTGCCTCTACATGACAGTTACTGAAAAACTGCATTCAGGGTTATGACCTGTTTCTTTCACCTTTTCGTTTACCTCTTGCCTGTACTTTCTAATGTTAACTGTTTCTTCCATCATCCATCTAGGTTTTTCTTTTCTTTTTGCTACAGGAATTGTCTTTTTACATTATTGCCTAATAATATATCTGGTTTCAGTCCATATTTCTTCTGATATCAATAAGGAGGGGTTGTGCCTTTGACTCATCTAGCCAGTGGTAAAATCTCTTGGGATATGTGACTGTGAATTCTTGTGTGACTACTCTGGTTCCCATTTTTTCTGCCATAAAACTGCCCTCTGGTGTTTCTGTCTCTGTTCATAGAGAATTCTAATTAGTAAGCTGTTGCTGCTATGCAGACAGTATATTGAAATGCTGTAGCTTGCAATAAGGAAATCCCTCTGTCCAGATTGAGGTTTATTCTTCCAGATGCGGTTGAGCCGTCTGTAGATCTGGCTTGCCACTCTGGTGCTGTTGTTAAAGAAGATGTAGTAAACTGCAGAGGTAACCCTGTCTTCACCTAGAGCAGCAACAGTGTGGGTTAGAACTGGTTTTTTGAAGGCTCAGGGTAATCAGGTTCCGATAAAATCATGCAATTTGACTTTTGAATCTCAGCAAAGTCACTTTAGCTTTTATGTTCTGTGTGGCAGCTTATCTGTTGCTGTGCTAATACCATATCTGTAGCTGCATTAGCCCCCAGCATTGAGGTCCTTTTTTACTTTCAAAGGGCAGTTGCTGAGTTTGCTTTTTAAATTGTATGTTCTTGATGGAGCACTTAATTCAAGTGAGTTAGTATTTATTACCCCAAAACCCTTTGATCCACTGTCAGCAGAGTTTTCAAATGGGGAAGCAAACAAGTCTATCAGCTCTTACTTTTGTATGATGGTGGTATTTGAATTTAAAAGCCTTAGAGAAGCAAACAATGGCACTTTAAATATGGGTGGCTTGAGGCATCAGTACTGGGGAAAGATAAGACAGAAAAACAGTATATGACAGCATGGAAGATGATTGCAAAACTAAGTTCTCTCCTGGAGTTAGTTGTTCATGGTGCTCTGAAAACTAGGGGACAAAGCGTTGCTTTACTTGATGTAGCAAGTCGGAATCTTGCTTTTCCTCATAGGATGAGGTAGAAGTGGGTGAACAAAGAACTACAGATAGAAAAGCAGAGCAATAGATGAAACGGCCTCCTCATCTTCCGTTGACTTAGCTTTTAAAGAGGAAGATTCTGCCTCTTATAATCTGCACTGTGCATTAGGTACATTGCAGGGTTACTCTACTTCTGCCTCTGGTTGTTTCTTTCTAGCTGGTAAGTGTTAACAATTAGACCTGATACCATAACTCTCTGTTTTGTGATAGTCGTATATCTGTATCCACTAAAGCAACCAGTATCAGTGGCATTTGGATCGTATGTTCGTTTTAAGTCAGCTACCATGCCATTTAGGCTGCCATCTTGAAACTCTGCCTTGGAAGAACCTTTTTGTTTTCTGCCCCCTCAAAATTGTTATTTTCTAACTCTGCTTCTCCTTTCTTCAGGTGAGAGAAACAGAAACCATGGACCCCCAGCTGTACCCTGAAGAACTTGCCTCTGGAGACTTGCCTGATGATGAGGATTCGAGGCCTGATTTCACAATTGATGAAGATGACTATGAGTCCTCTGGTTCAGGAGATAATAAAGGTATATTTTGCTCTGAGGTACCACTTTGTCAGGGATGAATAAATAGTCCTTTCCATATATAAATCTGTTGTTGTGTTGGATGGGTTTGTAATACGTCGACTATAACTGGTCAGACAGAGGTCACTTTTCCAATTATTGGTGTTGACTCTCTACTTACTTTGTGATTATCACCTGGCTAATGTGCAAAACCAGTGGTTGGGAGTTCAGATTGCCATTGCATCTCCCAGGAGAGGAGCCAGCTAAGATCTGCTAGCACATATGTGGCTGATGGAATTATATGCTGTACTAACAGTACACAGTCCCTGAGTGCTAGTAAACCACTTTTTATTACCTTATATCTAGAACAGAGGTCCCCAACCCCTGGTCCGCGGCCCGGTGCCAGTCCCTGGCCTGAGCCAGACCTCCCCCCCACGCACTCCCCCCTGCACAGCCCACTGGGTCGCAGAGAGAGACCTCACCCCCACGCACTCCCCCCTGCACAGCCCATCTGCGCCTGTATGCTAGCCTGCACGAGCACTGTGTGCATGTGCGTGAGCGTGCCTGCAAATGCGCTGCCCTTTGCACATGCGCATGAGCACTAGCCTGCACGAGCACTGTGCTGCCCTTTGTGCATGTGTGTGAGCGTGCCCGCAAATGCGCCGCCCTTTGCACATGCGCATGAGCATTCACGTGCCTTTGTGCATGTGCAGGAGCGCAGGGGGATGCCCTGCCTTCCCCAGCCAGTCCGCGGGCCTAAAAAGGTTGGGGACCGCTGATCTAGAAGACACTGGCAAAGTTGTCATAGGTTAGAAATACCTTGATGACATATAAATATTATTGGTAATAATAGATTTGATAGAAAGGCTACAAACCAACAACAACACCTGGAGTGTCTGGAGAAAAGGAATTGTTGCTCCACCACTGGAAATCTCAGCACTTGTTCTGATCTCTAAGTCACAGGTTTATATTATTTCAAAATGCCCTTCTTTAACACAAGACGAACAATGAAGGAAGACATGTATTGTGATGTCTAGTGAGAACAAACAGCTGTAACATTCAGTGCATAATGTACAGTAACTAGTCATTGACCCAATAATAGTGGGGCATGTATGGATCCCAAGATATTCTTGGAACTGCAGTTACCAGCATCTCTTAACAATGGCTATGGTAGCTATAGCTAATGGACATTACAGTCCAATGATATCAGGAGGGCCACCATTGGACTACAAGAAACTTATTACATTTAGTACTCCTGTGTACAGGCCGAAATCCGGTTGACATAAGTCTGCTTGCACTTTAGGAATGATGTCAGCAGGAGTGGCAGATTGCCATTACAGTGGGGTCTTGACTTGAGAACTTAATCCGTATTGGAAGGCGGTTCTCAAGTCAAAAAGTTCTCAGGTCGAATCTGCATTTCCCATAGGAATGCATTGAAAGCCATTTGATCCGTATCTGCTCTTTTCCGTCCATAGAAACTAATGGGAAGCTGCTATTCCGCCTTCGACCACTAAAGGGGGATATTTTGTTTCTTTTTTCCTTAGGTCAAGAAAGGTTCAGGGAAGGCAGGGAAAATACAGTCCAGGCAGTACAGTACCAGGCAGTCTGAAGACTGTCTCCCAATCCACTCTCTAAATGCTGGGAGGAGTGAGGAAGCAGACAGGCACCTTTTTCACTGGCCAACAGTTAACTGAAAGTTCACATTTTGCACTTTCCCTGCCTCCCACGTGGTTTTTTTTCAGTTCTTAACTCAAATCTAAGTATGTAAGTCAAGTCAATATTTTCCAATGAGAGTGGTTCTTAAGTCAAAATGTTCTTAACTCAAGCCGTTCTTAAGTCAAGACCCCACTGTAATTAAAATCTGTTTTACAGCTTTGGATTATGCATGGGTCCTATACAATGCAGCAGAGTTACATATATCCTGAAACAGTAAAAAGAAGCCTTTAATCCGCAGCGATTTGCCACTGCCATCATTCTGATTGTACAGACAGAACCTGCCCAAGAGGATTTCAGCCATACTATACAAGATCTGACTTGGGCCCCCCATTCTAATGTGCCCTGTAGTGGTTCTTTGTCTCTCTTTAATCTGTGTTCCAGCTGTAGGTTAATCTGCACACTATGTTGTCTGCTCGTCTCCAAACTAGCTCCAGCAACTTCTTGCCTTTCATGCACATTATGTTCTCAAGAAAAACAAACTCTGAAAGTAGCACACAACAAGTTGAGACAAATCTGGTGGTTTGGGTGAGCCAATTGTCCTCAAGGAATATGAGTGTTTGAAAAAAAAGGCAGTTCTTTTAAAAAGCCTGTTAAACTGCACACTATGTGAACTTGGCTGTTTAAGCCCTAGTAATCGGCTGCTGAGTGGAGGACTCACTAGGTCGAGGAGGTTGGGGTGGATGAGAAGGAGGAGTGTAAACGATGTGACTAAACACTCTGTGATGTACGCTAGCCAGAACCCTTATGAACACTCACTGATCAAGGCAATGACTGAGTACGCTATTGCAGGTTATAATTTTTCATATTGGTGAGATGATTAAATATCTTTCTGTGTTCCACAGACTATTCAGATACTAAGGATGTCTCGATTTCAGCCACCGACAACTCTGTGGTATGTATTTACAGCTGCTGTCTGTGATATGCTTAAAGCTTGAATTTGTTAGCTTCTGGCTGACATTTAATTGAGGACTTGCTGTCTGCAAACATACATTCACTTCTGGGAAAAGATGAGAAGCAAACTCTTTGCCAAAAATGTCTTGTCATATCTCTCTAATAACTTTGAAAATTCAAAATGAGAAGTGGTAATACGTGTAGACATTGTGTGCATCTACATGTTCCTAGTATGGGCAGAGCAGCACCTCTAAATGGGGAGCTCTAGAAAGTAAATAGTGAATAGCAGTGGTTTATATTTTGCTAGCAAACATAACAGTAAAAACTTTTGACAGCGCTATCCCATGTCAGCATGCCATATAATGCAATATGACCTGGATGTTCAGGACATGTAAACTTCCTGTGTTGCCTCCTACTCATAGTACAGTAGAACTGTTCTTTAACATTTGGTTATATTGATATATTTTCCTTGATAAGAACTTATTGATTCGTACTAAAGCTCGCAGAATTCTTTGTCAGGGTGGCTGTAGGACTGTGGAAAAAGTGGTAGTCCACCCCCCCCAAAAAACCCTAATTTGCCCAAGTTCCAGCAATACACTGGTCCCTTAATACAATTACAGTGGTGCCTCGCTTAGCGATCGCTCTGTTGAGCGATGAAATCGCTTTGCGATTGACTTTTGGCCATCGCTGGAGTGATCGCTTAGCGATGTCCCCTATGGCTAAAATTCGCTTTGCGATGATCACGGGGAAGCGATCATGGCAAAGCGAACTTTTTTAAACAGCTGATTGGCAGTTCCAAAATGGCCGCCGTAAAAACAAAATGGCCACCGCTGTTTTGCCTTGCTTTAGAGGCACCCAAAATGGCCACTGCTATGGAGGAATTTCGCTTTAAGGTAAGTTTTTAGCCCATAGGAATGTATTAAACTTGTTTTAATACGTCCCTATGGGCTTTTTAATATCGCTTAGCGATTAAATCACTTAGCGGTGTTTTTTCCGGAACGGATTAACATCGCTAAGTGAGGCACCACTGTACTTGGCATAGATGAGAGATACTGGCTCCTAAAATGGTTACAGTGGCTCTACTTTTTAATTATTTTGATGCATTGCTCTCGGGTGCATGCAAAAGATTCAACTTGCATTTTCCTTTTATTCAGGACTCCATGAACAACTATATCCCTGATTCCAGAAAAGAGACTAAAGATAAAAATGAACCATATGTAGTAGAAAATGAGATTATCGTTCCCAAAAAAGACGCTTCTCCTGAAGACCTTCCCAACAAGATCTCAATGGCCAGCACAGCCAATGGCAGCATCCTAGAGAGGACAGAAGTTCTTGCAGGTAATTATACTTTGGATTGAATAAACATGCCACTGCCTGAAATGAGAACAGGTCAAGCTTTTTCAAGAGAAGCTTTTAAAAATCTGGTATGCAAAGAACTGATGTGACATGGATCAGTATTATATAAATAAGAGGAAAGCAAAGGAAGAAAGGTGTTCAGTTGTTCATATGTACGCTTCACCAAAACTAAAGTCTCTTGATTCTCTCCCTATTGTTTTGTCCACCTGCCCCCTCCCAATTTCATAAGAGTGGATGCAAGAAGCAGTGTTTAGAGATCAAAACTGTACACAATTGTTCAATCAGGTGTGAGATATATATGTGAAAATGGGGATTGTACCAGCCCTTTTCCACACATTAGCTTGAAACATCTAGATAGTGACATATATACAGTAAATAGATTTTGAATAAGTGCTCCATATTCTGGATTTTGGTGGTCATGTCAGTGCGCATGTAGATCCATTGCATGTTATAGCATCTATACATAAGCCACTATAAAGATACCCCAACTAGTGCACAGAACTTTGTGGATGTAAAAGTGGTTTGCAACAATTTGGATGCAATCATTACATCTTCTGCTCCATGTTCTTGGCGTGCTGGAGTGGTTCCTAATGGCATCCCTACCAGTACTATGAATTTCGTCTTCTTTTACAGAAAGCAGTAAACTGTTCCCTCTCCAGATTTTTAAAAATGTTTTATGCATTAGTTATGTGTATGGACAAATGCTTTTGGGTCCACTGTATTTAAAAATGACTTCCAGAAATGTTGGCCTCCTCAGTGAGGATGCCCAAAATAATTATTTTAGAATATGTATGGGAACTTTTCTTAAGTATATGACACTGATGGTTGTTGTGGGTTTTTCGGGCTCTTTGGCCGTGTTCTGAAGGTTGTTCTTCCTAACATTTCATCAGTCTCTGTGGCCGGCATCTTCAGAGGACAGCAGTCTGTCACTGAGTTTGTTCTATACCAAGGATAGGGAAGCGTGACCTTTCATTTATTGAACTGCAACTGCCTTTGCAATTGGCTATATTTCCAAGTCTTATGGGAGTTGCAGTATGACATCTGGAGGTCCACATGTTCCCTACCCTTCACCTAAAGCAGAGATGCCCAACCTTGGGTCCCCAGAGGGACTAAAACTCCCAAAAGCCTTCACCACTAACTGTTCTGGCCAGGATTTATGGGAGTTGTAGTCCAAGAACATTCAGGAACCCAAAGTTGGGAACACTGATCTAAAGGATTAAGTTTTTCTCAGGGAAACACCCCCAAAGAAACAGATTTTATATTAAAGAATGTTTAATACAGAGCATTAATCAGAACGAAAGCAGGATAGAAAATTGCTCTCAGCACTTATTGCCAAGTTAGCAAGGGGAAGTCAAGGTGGAAGTTCGTTACAATGACATGTGTTAGAAGTAGGCGAAAAGCTCTTCAGTTTCCAGGGTATTTACTTCATGTTATTTCTCCCCACCCCCAGCTCTTATTGCAGGTGGAGCAGTCGGGCTGTTGTTTGCTGTCTTCCTTATCCTCCTCCTAGTCTATCGCATGAAGAAAAAGGACGAGGGTAGTTATGACCTTGGCAAGAAACCAATCTACAAGAAAGCACCTACAAATGAATTCTATGCCTAAGGCTTGCCAATGCCACAAATCCACTTGAGAATCAGAAATGTACTTTGTAAAAAAGAAAAGGAAAAAGCATTTGGGCCACAGACGAGAAGCTCTGAAACAAATGCTCGCTCTTGGATCTAATGTCAAAGCGATTTTTAAAAAATCTTTCTTTGTGACCCTTCCCACTAACAAATGAGGATACAAAGTTTAAAAAGGCAGAGAATGAGCGGGGGGACCCCATATGGGGTATGCATGTGTTCTCAAATGCAAAGCAAATTTGCCAAATGTTGTATTTGGTTGGGTGAACGGGGGTTGTATGTTTGCATTGGGTTGCAGTGCTCCAACTTGCCTTGTTTGTAGAAGGTGTAACTCTGTAAGACTGCCTTGCAGCAGGCCAGCCATGTTAGGCACATTTTTTATAAAAAAATAAATAAAGAACTTATTTATGAAATCTCCTACACTACATTGCAAATTAGTCTTGGTAGTGTGCAAAGTTGCTTTGTGTAGAGCTCAGTGACTCTATAAACAATTGGGGGCTTATTGTGAGGAATGGCTATTTGTGAAGAAGCAATTCCTCTGAGGGTGAGGGTGGGGCACTCAGGAGCCAGCAAAAACAAAATGTTGGGAGTGAGGCATAATGCTCCCCATTTTCACATGGACCTTTCATTAAAGAAATACCTTTTTATTATGAAATCTTTTTAAAAAGTAACAATAAAAATACCTGCCTATAAAGCTTGTAGAAGAGATACCTAAATTTAAAAATTCTTTTGTAGTTTTGCATAAGACTTCTTTTTAATCCCTTATTTCCTCTTGCCGGACATCCCTCTAGACAGCTGGCATTTCATACCATCCATTGCCTGAACTGAAGCAGCAAGTATAGTATGTTACAGTTTTCTAAGCTCATATCTTAGGTTACTCTAGGGGAATTGAGAAGAGAATATTTATATATATTTTCCAGAATTAAAGCAAAAGATGTGTTTGATTTTTTTTAAAAGACAGAACTATTTATAGTTTCTAAGATGGCTGCTCTCTTTTTGGTAACTCTTCTTTTTTTATATGTAAAACACTAATATAATGAAACCTAATGATTGTGAAAACTATTTAAGCTTTATTCTGTGTATTATATCCTGAAGGCAATAACCTCTGCTAGATTTGTTTATATAAAAAATCAGATTTCTCTGAACATAACTAAAATACAATAGGGGTGAGGGCATTTTTTTGTAGCCTTGTAATATATTATCAGTGCTCTAGAGCTATATTTTTTCAGTAAAAGTGCACGATTTTTATAAACCTACTGGAGTAAGTTTGTGCAGTCTTCATGTGTGGTAACGGGTTAATCAATCTGACTGGTGTTCCATGTCTTCCTATTCTGAGTGGGCTCATCACTTCACATTTATTACTAATTAATGGCAGCTGCGTAGTCGACAACATAAGTTCTACTAATGGGAGCTTCAGTACAGCTTGGATGCGTACTTTTTAATTGCTTCTTATCTCTTCTCCCTCAAAGGCTAATGGAGAGAACGTACGTCAGAAGCACTTGGGTACAAATAGTGACTGATCCTTCCAAAATGTCCTTCCCTTTACTATAGGCAAATGCCGAGGGACCCCTGGTATTGTAGCAAGTTTGTGTTCTGCTGTTCGAGCCTGAGCTGAGGGTACTGGCTTTCAAAATTCTGAATAGCATGTTGCTTTGGCTTTTTCAGAGAAGAAGGTCTGTGGGAATCATGCTCCTACCAGACTTCCGGTTCTGTTTAATATAACAGCGTTAACATAGGATGGAAATGGATCATGTTCCATCCAAGATTGTGCTAGAATGGTACAGAGACTTTAAAATGGCATATCTTAGCTGACGGGTGTGTGTGTGTGAGAGAGAATGCTGTATCAGAAGATAGGAAGAAGTCTTGTTTCATCAAATCTTGAAGGAGCAGGGATGTAGCTCAGTGCTGTTGGAAGACTTTAATGCCATGTTATGTAAACTACTATACAGTGCAGTATAGAAGAATCAGCTATGTATTTTGAGGTAAGTGGGATTCATTTGAAGTCTGCAGTCACTTCAGATATTCCTCTTCAAGACCTTACTTCATCCAGATGTTATCAGATTAAATCAGAGCTAATGTCTCATCAAAATCAATTCTTTTACCACCACCACCCCGAAGGATTTGGCCATGTAACACAATACAACATTTTGGAATTTACCAAACGGGGAACAAGGATTGCACTGCACAAGACCATTTTGAATCATACAGGTGGTTCTGAACTTAATCCATTTGCATCCTTTGAGCTACAGTCTTTAAAAGCTAATATAGTCTTATTCCCAAATTCACAGTCTGCATGTTAATAAAGGTGTTCTATGCAAGGCTTTCTTCCAGTGCTTGACCAGAACAAAATAAAGGATGCTCTTCTGTTTTTATTCTTGGCAATGAATTTGTTCTGTGATTTTTATCACATCCTCTGGGATTGCTGGGATGAACATATGCGTGAAGTTAAATCTGTGCAAGAGATTCCACTCTGGCATCAGCAGAAGTCTTAAAAAAACTTCTGGAAATGTTTAGTTTGGCACGGGGTGAGAGGAGTATACACTTAACACTTTCTTGTAACTATTGCTTGGAAAACATGAATCTCATGTCTGTCTCTGATTACTTGGATTATATTTCTTGTATATTTGCATTTGTTTTCACTGTCATTGATTTGATAAAATAAACTGGTACTTTCTAAAAAGCTGCTGTTGCGTAATTGAACTCTAGCAAAAACTAGTACAGTAAGTAGTAGGCAACCTAGGTCTTTGCTCTTCACACAGAGAAAATCCTGGAATTTCTAATTGCATTGATCTCTTGACAACCAAAACAGAAGTACTGTAAATTAGTTTAGAAAACACAAAAGGAGGCAAGTTTACACTCAGGCAAGTCTACAGGCAGGTCTCCTTCTAATGACCTGTTAACTGTATCACGTGGTTTGGATGTAAAGTAGCTGCCTCTCCAGCTAAACAATTATCCAGTTTGCCACTGTTAAGGTATGCCTGGTCCCTTCAAATGTATTATGGTAAGACCATTAGCTCAGAGCTAGGCAACCTGGTGCCTTCCAGACGTTTTGAACTACAACTCATATAATTCTTGATTATTCATCAGGGGCGGGCCTCTTCTATTCTTGGTGAGTAGCCTCATAATTCTGTGTTGTACCCAGAAAAGTTTGGAAAAGTAACTTTCTGAAGTACATTTATCAGTGGCTATCCTCGCTATGTAATTCTGGGAATTAGATAAAAAAAGTAACACCTCCAAAGTCTTCTATATAGAATACATGCTTTTCATATAAATAATGCTAGTTTCAGTATCTGGCAGCGCATGATTGGATGGGGAAAACAATTTTTTGAAATCAATAGAACCAAAAATACATATTATAAATCCAGGGTGGGGAAAGAACTGTATAAGAAATTAAGATATGGCAGGAGGGAAAGCCTATCCAAATAGCCAGGTTTTAAGTTTATTCCTGAAAGCACCCAGAGAGGGAGCCAGGCGGATCTCCACTGGCAAGTTGTTCCAAAGATGAGGAGCCACTGCTGAGAAGGCCCTGTTCCTCATTCTTTTCTTCCAGACCTTCCTCGGTGTCTCCACGGTGAGTGCCTGGTCCAGATGTATACCCGAACTGCGAACCTCACTCTTGGTGGTAAGAGTCACCCCCCCCAAGGAAAAGGAGTTTCCCAGGCCACTGATGTCTGTGACACCCACTTGAAGGACCTCCGTCTTGCCTGGAATCAGCCTCAGTCCATTCACCTGCATCCATTGCTTGAACAGCCCCCAGGCAGCGCTCAAGGGACAAAACAGGATCCACTGTTGTTGGAAAAAAGGAGATGTAGAGCTAAGTATCAACAGCAGCGTACTGATGACACAAAGCCCCACATCCCCTGATGACCCCTCCCAGCGGCTTCATATAGATGTTAAACAGCATTGAAGAGATGATCAAACTCTGTGCAACCCCACAATTGAGTCTCCATGGAGCTGAGAAACTTTCCAATCTGCACTCTCTGGGGTTCCAATCTGCACTCTCGGGACAGTCCTCCAAGAAGGAACAGAGCCAGGCAAGACCCTGTAGGTTATCCCATCACTTCCACAGAGCTTTTCTTCAGTACTTATAAGTATAGCAGTGTTATATGCATGCATTGAACAGTCTTGATTGCAAATACAGTGGTGCCTCGCTTAACGAGTGCCCCGTTTAACGACAAATCCGCATAGCGATTAGGTTTTTGCGATTCCATAATGATGTTTTGAATAGTAACAAATCGCTTTGCGATGATCGGTAAGCTGTTTCGCTTACCGATTTTCACATAGTGATTTTTTCCAACAGTTGATTGGCGGTTCCAAAATGGCTGCTGGAAAAAATGGCCGCCCGCTCTTTTTTGGGACGGATTCCTCGCTTACCGGGCAGCGAAAATGGCTGCCGTATGGAGGATTTTCGCTTAAAGGTAAGTTTTTCCCCCATTGGAACGCATTGAAGGGGTTTCAATGCGTTTCAATGGGGTTTTTAAAAATCACATAGCAATGTTTTCGGTTAGCGGCGATTTTTGCCGCACCGATTAACATCGCTATGTGAGGCACCACTGTACGAAGAAACACCGGAGACTGGCTTATAGTAAACACATCAAAAGTCCATCTAGTTTAGTGTTTGTTGTCTACACATCCTGGCAACAGAACTATAGGTTTTTAAAATTTGTAAACCACCCAGAGTAGACCTTTGGTCTAGATGGGTGGGATAGAAATCCAATCCAATCCAATCAATCAATCAATACAACCGGGAAGACAAAGTTGATGCAACTTTTTTGGGGGATTGAGTTTTAAAGGCTGTTGGATTTTGTAAAGAGGAGAAATTAGGAAAAGGGCACATGGTAATGGAAACAATACAAACAGAAGAACAGGCGATACCTTCTCCAGACTTTAATTCCCAGAGGTGTCAGCAAGCAGTACCAATGGTAAGAGATTATGAAAGTTTTAAACACCTAAAACTCCTGAAGCACCAAAGGTTCTCCAGATGTAACCACTGTTTTTGTGTCCTGCTTGTAAAGTTCCCAGAAAGATCTTCTTGAGGAGCAGCCATGTCAGCCTGTTGCAGTAACACCAATTGTGGGACTTCAGACTTATCCGGCCTCCAATAAATACCATCACAGGGAACAGCAAAATCACAGTCAATGGGATGGTAACACCTCTACGATCAAAGGCTGTAACAGACTGCTAATGCATACTGATTGTATGATACTACAAGCTCTAGTAGCTATGGAAAAAATTATTTATTTATTTAATTATATAATCATGTCCACAGGTAGTGTTAGCTTGGTGCTTTTGGTGAAACTACACAATTACTGTGAAAATGTGAGCAATGTCAATGCAATAGATATTCTTTTATGGCCTCTTTTTGAGAGGGAATTCAGACTTGGGGTGGAAAGAACACAAACAACATTTGGTCTGCTTTGTATCTTAGGAGGTCTGGGAGTGCCAAGACCTTGTGCTAAAGAGGTTTTCTTCCCCCTTTGCTTAGAGAGAATTCCCATTCAGGCTTGGCTCTGCTTTAGAGCAAAGGAAATAGTCGTAATGCTCCAAAGCCCTTGGAGAGGCAATGAAACAGCAACACAATGGTCTGGTGCTTTATGAAGAAAGCCCTAGAATATCTTGGCCTGCTGTGGATGCATTTCAGCGAGTCAAAGCAAACTTTCATTACTTTGCTATAGTCCATAAAGCAAAGCTCTTTCAGTGTCTGCTGCTTCCTAAACTCTATGGCGTAAGCTAAGTATGGATAAATGACTACTTGTGCTACTGTTTTGCAAGGCTGTTCTCCCTGCCTGGTTACCCGCCCACCCCTTTCACTTCCTCTTGAGACCTTGAGGTAAGTTGGCCATTTTTTAAAACCAGCTGGCATGTAAAGTTGCATAGCTCAGCTGCACTGGGGAGAAAATATTCAGCAAAATCATACTCAGCAGAAAAGAGCTCCAAGCCCTCACTGATTCCAACCCATCATATTGTTGCCAACAATAGTCTTGAATCGGAAGATCAAAATTTAGTGCTTAACCACTGGGCTCAGGAATCAAAAAAGCTGTTCTCTAGCTCTGTACTTCAACACAGGTTCATGACCTGGTTATGACTGATAACCTAGTACAAGCTTAGTTATCTTGTAATTTAATGTTCCTGTTTAGAGCAGAGTTTCAAAACCTTACCTTTTTTGAACTGAAAGTGTAGTCAAATTGGCTTGGGCATATGCAGAGTTTTAGTCCAGAAAATCTTAGCCTGTCTATGCTCTGGATTGGATTCTAGCCAAAATGCTGAATTATCTGGGATCAGCATTGGTTGGGTTACAGAAAACCAAATATTAACTCCGGAAGTATGGTATTTATTGTACAATGGACTCACTATGTTTTATGCCCCATTCTTACTTCAAGGAAACTGGGAGAGGGGCTCTAATATTTTTTTCTCCTGCCATTTTAATTTTCATAAATTAAATAGACATGAGAAATAGGTAAATAGACCTGAGAAAGTGCACACAGAGTTACGGCTGAGGGGGATTTGAACAGGGGCAGCCACTGAAACCATTGCACCACATATGATCTTACAAGCTTGACAACTTTATAAGGTTTTTGAGAAGAAGGAATAGACAAGACCAGGTTGTAAAATATCTTATGCTCAGCAGCAAATAAAATATATTTGCACCAGCTTTCTCTGTCTGAAAGTATATAGAAAGGTGTGGAACAGATTACAGACCACTGAGATATTTTAATACGTAACATAATGGTTAGCACTAAAATTGCATGCATATTTGTGTGGAAGTACTCTTTATGAAACACATATGTAACCTGTTGTTACTTGAAGAAAAAAGTTTAGGAAATGAGAACATGAGAGCAAAACTAATTGTGTCTCATGCTCCAGTTGTTTTGGTCTCAGTTGTATGTTGTGTTTTAACTGCTGGATATCTCAGTAGTTTAGGTATCTGGTTGCAGAGCTAGAAGTTGGGAGTTTAATTCCCCACTGTGCCTCCTTATCAGGGGCTAGACTTTAAGATTAGAATGGGGGTATTCATATTCATATATGAATAGCTCTGCAGAGGTAGACATAACGAGGGTCCGGCCCCCTGGGGCTGGACCGTCCACTCGCCTGTCTGCTCACCTGTCCCCTCCACACTCCCAATTGCTCCAGAGCTCACTGTCAACTAGCACTCATCAGTTGGGCAGGGAGGCTCGTCTTCTCTCCTGTCAGGAGCGGCTAGTCGATCGCAAGCTCTGGAGTGATTCCAATTGGGCAGGGAGGCTCATCTTCTCTCCTGTCAGGAGTGGCTAGTCGATCGCGAGCTCTGGAGTGATTGGAAGGGAGCGTGGAGCTGGCAGCAGCAGCAGCGCACAGTGAGTGGACAGTCTGGCCCCAGGGGACCAGACCCTTGTTATGTCAACCTCTGCGGTGATCCATAGGATCCCTTCCAGCTCTGCAGTTATAAGATGATTATAGGATCACCCTTGTACAAGTTGATAGTATTCTGGTAATTTGATGTTCCAGGTCAGATCAGAGTTTGAAAAAAATGACCTTTTTGAACTAAAACTGTGATCACGCTGAGTGGGGATTTGCAGATTGAGTTTAGAAAATCTTAGCCTACTATGCTCTGGCTTGGATTGTAGCCTGAATGTTGCAGTTAAATCCTACTTCAGACAGTATTCATGGTCGCACTACAGCCACCAAGCCGTTTAATGCAAT